GCAGCAAAGGGCTGCGGGTTGGACTCGAACCCCGGCCGCTGCTTTCTGGCCTTACAGCATGTGGTTCCTGCTCAACCAAAACCCCAGGTTGACCCCGATGGAGTCATTTGTGTGTTTGTGTAATACATAAAATGTTGTATGTGCAGAAAAAGCGTTTTATGTCTCCTGTTGTGTGAAGTGTTTTGGCCCATATAATCCAAAAAGCACTATGTAAACATCAGTTTAGTTTATGAAGCTCCTGCAGCAGTGGATTCTTTGCCATCACTCTCCTTTAACCTGTCAGTAAATGTTGTGTTGAACAGCAGATGAGGTTAACAGTAGCTGGTTTTCATTGGTCCTTGTCTCTGTAACGGTGTATAAGCAGGAGGATCGTAGGTCGATTCCACTGTTCTCTAGTCAGCGTCTTATTTCTCGGCGGCCATATTTGTTTTATACACTGGAGTCTGAAGTCTGTTTTTGTGCCTACATCAGACAGTCAGCTATACTATCCCATTCTCTCTTTTTAAATCTTGGCATTTTTAAAGTTAAACCTCCTGGTGACAGTAAAGAAGCCCTGTGTGTACCTCAGCAGCTAGAATGTTTTATTACATAGAAATCCAGTAATGTACACAACAGAGTTCAGCTATCCCACTGATCCATAAGGCAGATGTCTCATGTTGTCTGACACAGGTTTCATTTGGTTTGAATTTTATCTCTGTGCCGTGTGATCTCGCTGAAATGTGTCTCCAGTTGCCCCCATTAAGGTTGGCAGGGAAAGAAACAGGAGCGATCTCTCATTGGCTCTGAGTTCATACAGTGATCGCTTACCAATTATGTCTAAGGCCAACGCATGACTCAAAAAAGAACATATGATCTTTCCCCCGGTTCCCCTTGACTGACAATCTATTCTCATTTGCTGATTTACTGTTTCAGATCAACATTACAATCACATTATTGCAAAAAGATGAAGCGAGCGCTCTCGCACACACGAGGTCCGAGCCACGAACACGCCAAGCTGAAGTCGTCTTGTTCTGCGATTGAGTAATCCTGCAGACCAGATGGAGTTCTCTCCATTTAAATGACTCATCGTCATTTCTTGTAAACATTTGAAGTTTATTCTTGTCGTTGCTTATTTTTCTCAGCTTCGGCCCTGCCCTCACCTGGAGCAGGACGTCCTGAGCGACTGTCTGTCCATGCAGCACCTCCAGAGCTCCGCCTCTACGCAGCACCTCTACAACGGCAAAGATGGCCATTCTCCTGCGTTGGGCCAAGACATGTTCACAGGTACACACCTGAGTCTGATTTCTTCCTGTA